AATGTATTGTTTGGTTATTCTCTCGAGAGTCGCTGCTAAGGTATTGTTTAATTAGACCTTCATGAGTTGCTGTCAATGTATTGTTTGGTTATTCTCTCGAGAGTCACTGCTAAGTTATTGTTTAATTAGACCCTCAAGAGTCGCTGCTAAGGTATTGTTTAATTAGACCTTCATGAGTTGCTGTCAATGTATTGTTTGGTTATTCTCTCGAGAGTCACTGCTAAGTTATTGTTTAATTAGACCCTCAAGAGTCGCTGTCAACGTATTGTTTGATTATTGTGTATTCAGAGTGCTATTTTATATGCTTTAGTTTTAAGGGGTAAAATAGTGAGAGCTGGTTAAGCAATGACACTTGTAGGTCTAACATTCGCGATAAAAGTAATGTAAGGCTTAAGTAGTATGGATTTGACTTCTGTTTGAAGAATTATAAACTGTCACCATCACTATTTAAAAAGGTTCAGGATAAAGAAAAATATCGTGAAAAAACGATAAAACCAACGGTATCTGAATAAAAAAGATAGAATCGACCATAAAAAAGGTTAGGTTTTTCCAATGATTCACTGCCATAAAACTACAAAAGATGACTTAGACAACAGATCAACAATAATAAAAGGTCCTTCACATTTTTCACTCAGAACACTCTTTATCACTAATGATTAATGTCTCTTTTATACCCAACAATCTTAATCCTCCACCCCTCATGTACAAATAAAACTAACGTGTTTTGAATATTTTTACCTTTTTCCTTATAAGAGTCCTAATTGTCCACCCCTCCGACACAAATGAAGCCAACGTTTTTCTGATATTTTCATACCTACCTTGCAAGAGTCTTCATCCTTCACGCCCCCGGCACAAATGAATCCATCGTGAAGATTATAATACGGCCCAAGAAACGTATTTCTTAACAGCTCTTCGCATAAGGCATTAAAAATGACAGGAACACGGATTTCCCTCATCAAATTTGTGTAACGACCATCCTCTAGTGAAAGGCGAAAAAAAAGAAGCTTAAATAAGTTTTTTTTATAATACAGAGCTAGCTTGTGCCTATCGATACATTATTTTACAATCTCAACTGTTTTCTTTTTATTGCCATTTCATAATATATAAAGTAAAATATGCATAATCAGTAAATATTACCTCAACTGTTAACTAAATATTTCAACATTATTTTATGATATAAAAAATATTATAACTTTTTTTCAGTCATAGCACAAGTTCTCAAAACATGCACAACAGATAATATAATTTTCTTTACTTTTTGAAATCGGCCTCGATTGAACTAAATCTAATAAATTTAATTATCTTTATTTTCCTAAACAAATAACAAATTCTTGCGTTATGAACTTTCAAATTTACCTTGGGGGTCAACCCCGCGAGTTGTTAGTAAAAAATTAATAAGTGTTCAACATTAGCGCTAATAAAACGACCTTCCCTCCAGTGGCTCAACGGTAACTGTGCAAGTTTACAACGCTAAAAATCTGGTTTAGATACCCATGGTAGTGAGCCGAGCATTGTGTAGCTTTGCGATTAACAACAACCAAACAACAAAATCAACCAGCTAACATAATACTTTAAAACCCCCAACTGACTGCTTTATTTTAACTAAAGTTCGTTGCGTCAAATATATATATATATATATATATTTAGTTAGTTTCGACTCAATACTTAGAAAAGCAGCTTGGACAGCGGTCAGTATGAATCGATATATTCCAATAGAGAAGGAGGAAGAGGTCTGAATTGAACGTGACCCTCTAAGGTCACGCACAACGACCAAAATACCGATCTAGACAAGACTAGCTAGAAGCATTAGCTGGCACGTTTTCCTGTCAAAATTCTCTTGCAACATATTTTGAAAAAAAACGAAAAACTTTTTAATTGTAATTGTAAACATTTTTCAAGTTGCTAAGTTCCTCGTAATTAACGAGTTGACAGTTAAACGTCGTTAAGACAAAGTGAAGTGAGAATGGTAAGCTTATTACAATTGTATTTTCAAGATGTTCATTTAAACACGACCAAAGCCTGCAAGCGTGCATTAATAACATTGAAATGAAGAACAATTATTTACTAGAGATCTCTATAGTGTTGTTTGATTTCTTTTCACAAAGTGAACAAATCTCGATAGAACCGTGATTCACTGAATATACACTTCTTCACCTTCAAACAACAATAGCTACTTACGAAAACTGTCTTTCCCAAGCCAGTCACTACACAGTTTTCTCCTTCAAACAACAATAGCTACTTACGAAAACTGTCTTTCCCAAGCCAGTCACTACACAGTTTTCTCCTTCAAACAACAATAGCTACTTACGAAAACTGTCCTTTCCCCAGCCAGTCACTACACGGTTTTCTCCTTCAAACAGCAATAGCTACTTACGAAAACTGTCCTTTCCCCAGCCAGTCACCACACGGTTTTCTCCTTCAAACAACAATAGCTACTTACGAAAACTGTCCTTTCCCCAGCCAGTCACTACACGGTTTTCTCCTTCAAACAACAATAGCTACTTACGAAAACTGTCCTTTCCCCAGCCAGTCACTACACAGTTTTCTCCTTCAAACACATCCTCGAAATTTGGAAGACAAATGGGACTGATGTGAGGTTGGAAAGTAACGTCATGAACCAGGCGAAGCACAGCAATATCGTTCCACAGACTAATAGCATCAAAAGAAGGGTGAAGAAAGATGTCTTGGACGTCATAATCCTGGTGGGGAAATGGCTCATCTTTGTGTTGAGTGTCCCATTCACCTAGTCGGATCCTCAGAGGGTACTGGTTATCCCCCCTAGTCATTAGGTAGTAACAGTGTAACAATGATTAACAGTAACATTGTAACAATAATTAACAGTAACGTTGTAGTAACAGTGTAACAATGATTAACAGTAACATTATATCAATGATTAACAATAAAGTTGTAGTAACAGTGTAACAATGATTAACAATAAAATTGTAGTAACAGTGTAACAATGATTAACAGTAACGTTCTAGTAACACTGTAATAATGACTAGCAATAAAGTTGTAGTAACAGTGTAACAATGATTAACAATAAAGTTGTAGTAACAGTGTAACAATGAATAACAGTAAAGTTCTAGTAACATTGTAACAATGATTAGCAGTAACGTTGTAGTAGCATTGTAACAATGATTAACAGTAACATTCTAGTAACATTGTAACAATTATTAACAATAAAGTTGTAGTAACAGTGTAACAATGAATAACAGTAAAGTTCTAGTAACATTGTAACAATGATTAACAGTAACGTTGTAGTAACATTTTAACAATGATTAGCAGTAACGTTGTAGTAGCATTGTAACAATAATTAACAGTAACGTTGTAGTAACAGTTTAACAATGATTACCAGTAACGTTGTAGTGACAGTTTAACAACGATTAACAGTAACGTTGTAGTAACGTTTTAACAATGATTAACAGTAACATTGTAGTAACGTTTTAACAATGATTAACAGTAACATTGTAGTAACGTTTTAACAATGATTAACAGTAACTCTTTAACAATGATTAACGTTTTAGTAACTGTGTAACATTGATTAACAGTAACGTTGTAGTAACATTGTAACAATAATTAACAGTAACGTTGTAGTAACAGTTGAACAATGCTTAACAGTAACGTTGTAGTAACGTTTTAACAATGATTAACGTTGTAGTAACTGTGTAACATTGATTAACAGTAACGTTGTAACAATAATCAACAGTAACGTTGTAGTAACATTGTAACAATAATTAACAGTAACGTTGTAGTAACAGTTTAACAATGATTAGCAGAAACGTTCTAGTAACATTGTAACAATGATTAACAGAAACGTTCTAGTAACATTGTAACAATGATTAGCAGTAACGTTGTAGTAACATTGTAACAATAATTAACAATAACGTTGTAGTAACTCTTTAACAATGATTAATAGTAACTAGTTAACAATGATTAGCGTTGTAGTAACTGTGTAACATTGATTAGCAGTAACGTTGTAGTAACGTTGTGGTAACTGTGTAACTACAACAGTAACAGTAACGTTGTTACTAAAATTGTAACAATAATTAACAGTAACGTTATAGTAACATTGTAACAATAATTAACAGTAACGTTGTAGTAACACTAACAGTGATTAACAATAGCGTTGTAGTAACAGTGTAACGATGATTGACAATAACACTGTAGTAACATACGTGAACTTTTTCACACAGTGTGCCACAGTTAATACATGTCTGGAGTCAATGAGTGTAGCTGAAGTAACATACGTGAACGTTTTCACACAGTGTGCCACATTTAATACATGTCTGGATTCAATGAGTGTAGCTGAAGTAACATACGTGAACGTTTTCACACAGTGTGCCACATTTAATACATGTCTGGAGTC